CGATAATTTTTGTAAAGTTTCCAGAATTTTGGCCACTAGTGCATTTTTACATTTTTCCTATCATTTGTCAATTTTATTTCTTTATACACCACTATCGGCCATGTCAGATCATATTTAAGACGAAAAAAATTGCAACACAACGAAACCCATTATAAAATAAAGAAAATATAACAAAAATTAAAAGCAAAAATTTAGATTCAATCAACTTGTAACGGAATATTTTGCCTACCATATATAATATTATGATAAGGGTTGAAAATTGGGACATAAATTACTGGGGGTGGAGATAGGGCAAGCAAAATAAACGATACTTATGCGAACGGCACTCAGGGTTTATTTGGAGAGTTGGAGTCGTGAATAAGTGAATGAAGCAATGGGATTATATAGGGGCAGCTACAAAAAAAATTAAACAAAGAGTACTTTCATGAATCTCCTTGATAAATAGACAAATAAAAACAACAAGAAGGACCTCTAGCTATTTAAAATGGACGCCGCTTCGAGGACACCTCATGCTGGATGAAAGAAAAAGGCTCTTCTTTCCTAAAAAACACAAAAGAGAGGTTAACAGACTTTTCTAAAATAAATAGACAAAATGGATTAGAGAAATAAATTAAACATTTATTATTGTCTCAACACAAACAGTTACAAATACAGATAAAACAAAAACAAGAACGACAAAAATAGTTACAAAAATTTATACCAGAATAACAAAGAGAAACTTACATGCCTATCCGTTTACAAACTCTGTTTATGAATGGAGATGCTACAAAACTTACAAAAAATTGTTACTAGGCTATAAACTGTGGCAGAAATAAATTATTACTAACAAAGAAATACCTTTTAAATAAAATCATTCCTAGAGGTTAACCTTTTTTAAAAACAAACAAACTAATGTCGAAAAATAATAAAGCTAGCTGTCATATGTCAACATTTAATTTTGAAACAGAACAATTAAAATGACAGCTAACCACACCCTAAGATTTTACAATATTAATTATTACAATTATTATTTTAAACTGTTTATCTTTACTTTAAGAGTTCAAACACAAAAGGTTACGTGGATTTCCCTATAATGAACTTTAACTTATGGTGGTGGAAACTAGACTTACATTCTCTGACACGAACAAATTTATCTCCACTTAGAAAGATGCTCTGAGATGGCTTCTTAGGACGAATATAAATCTGAGATTGAAGGTTGGGGTACTGGAACACAAACTTTGGATTGGGCTTCTTAAAAAACAGGAACCATCGTGGTTATTTTTAAAAGTTGTTGTAAGCGACACAAATCTGTATCGCACCTGCATCTATGCCTCACTTTTCCCCTCTCATCACCGTTCACACCATGGAACAAACCAAAAATTTCGTCAAACATGCTTCAAATTATATCGTAAATGACCTTTATCATTCTCAGCTTTTTTAAACTCATAGAACTAAGGCATAATATATAAATTGAAGAAAAAACAGTTAAGATTTAATTTCACGTATAGTGCGTCTATGTAGCCGCTTATACGTATTTCGGCCTAATAGGCCTCATCAGAACGGCAATTCATAGTCGCTCTGAACGTGAAAATAAATCTCTTCTGTCTTAGGAAGCAACTCTAACATGGCTTCGAATGATTCCAATCAAATCTTAACAGTCTTTTATTTTTTATTCCGATTACTCTGAATGAGTCTTCTTCTTCTCGTGCCACTCCTAGCGGAGATTGGAAATCATCATGGCCACTGCGACTTTGTTAGCAGCGCGCCTAAAAAGTTCAATCGAACTACACCCGAACCATTCACGTAGATTACGAAGCCACGATATTTTTCTTCTTCCCACACTTCTTTTGCCCTTAATTTTGCCCTGCATGATGTTTCTTAAAAGTTCGTACTTTTCACCTCTCACAATGTGCCCCAAGTATTCCATCTTTCTAGTTTTTATCTCATTTAGAATTTCGCATCTTTTGTCTAAAGTTTGGAGTACTTGCGTGTTAGTGACGCGGTCCATCCATGATATTCTGAGAATGCGCCTATAGCACCACATCTCGAAAGCTTCGATGTTTTTTATGGTCAACTGTTTTAGTGTCCAAGCCTCAACTCCATATAACAGGGTAGAAAAGACATAACACCGCAGCATTCGTATTCGTAACTTTATATTGATATCACGATTGCAAAAGAGTTTGCGCATTCTATTAAAGACTGATCTAGCGATTTCTATTCTACATCTAATCTCTTTTGTTTGATCAGTATCGTCTGTGATCCAAGCACCTAGATATTTATAACAGGGCACACGCTCAATCGTTGTATTGTCTATTACAAGATTAGCTCTGATGTTCTTTGATTTCGTGATTACCATAAATTTAGTTTTTTTCAAATTAATTTTCAAGCCGTAACTGTTACAGTATATATTGAGACTTTGAACGAGATGTTGTAGTTCTACTAGCGTTCCCGTTAGGAGAACTGTATCGTCAGCATACCTTATATTGTTGATCGTCTCACCATTTATTATCAGACCAAGATCTTCTTCCTCGAGTGCTTGTTCACAGATAGCTTCACTATACAGATTAAATAAAAGTGGCGATAAGATACATCCCTGCCGGACTCCTCGACGGATTTGAATTTCTTCTGTTAGTCTGCCCTCAACCTTGACATTTGCTGTTTGATTCCAATATAGATTGCATATAATTCGAATATCTCGGCTGTCTATATTTTTCTTTATTAGAACTTGTCTTAGTGGTTCATGTTGTACTTTGTCAAAGGCCTTTTCGAAATCAATAAAGCAGGCGTAAATTTCTTGGTTCATGGTTCTTAGTTCATTTCTTTCTGAATGAGTACAAGAAACCAATTCGCTAAGGATTTTTGCTTAGTTGAGGAGATATATGTCGTGGAATGCAAATTTTAGATTCCCCATGTCTCTAATAACATCTTTATCAACGTCTGTTTTGCCTTGCAATTCTTAGAAGGCACAGATTAAAGCAAAAATCTGAATTTGGTTTCGAAAATTAGTTTACGGATTTTAATATATGAATTATTTAACTTCGTAGTGGAATTCTTTCTTGGGGAGTTTGAATGTAAACAAAGACACCAACATTTATATATAGCCCAGGATTGTAGGTACTTGAAAATTTTTATATTTAAATATGGATATTTTTTTAAAGGAATTTATTATGCTACACACTGAATCAATACCTCGGGTATTACTTCATATGTTTCTTATTTAAGTAAAACATCCCTCTGTGATTTACATTTACATAGGTTCCTTTACACTATTTCAATACAAATACTACAATTTTCCACCATATTTGAACAATTACTAGAAGCTTCGCTTTGAATTTAATTTTCAAATAATTTAGATGATACTACACTTCATCTAATTTACATACCGATGCACGCCATCGGCGTCATAGCACGTGACGTCACATGATACCAACACGAAATATTTATGCGGTAGGTTTGTTCTTTTTTAGAATCACTTTGCCGAATACACTGGCATTACAGCCACTAGACATGTTTTATGAATGAAGTATACATATTTTCCTACATCAGTCAGACACCCGGTAGGTCTATTTGAACCTTCATATGCTGTTCATATATGTGAACTTGTACTTTAGATATATATATATATATATATATATAATATATATATATATATATATATATATATATATTTACATGTACCCCAATAGACCGAATCTTCATTTAATTATAATTTGCGTACAAATACAATCTCCAACAATTACTTTAATTTTTATTAGAATCATTTTTGCCTTTTCTAGGATAGTACATAAGGGGAACTAAAATGACATGAAAGAGAACTCACTCCATCAACCCCTAGGCCCCACTCACACAACCAAAAAAGTTTAAATTCCAAACTCCTACTTCTGATACATCATTGAAAAGACTGTAAAAATGCTATTCAATTGTATAAATAATAATTATACAGGGTGAAGCAATAATTGTGAAACTTTGGCTTAAATGAAAAATTTAATGAGGTTTTTGTTGAACTACAAATTTATTAAAAATGTCAATTAAGTAAATGCTCAAAGTGGGTTCCGTTGTTTTGTAAACAATAATACAGCCTATTTTGAAATTCTGCACGAACTTTGACAAATGATGTTCTAATAATAGCGCTACATGCTTGCGTAATTCTTTTTCGCAATTCCCCAAGTGACGCAGGTTGAGTTTTATAAACAACTAACTTTGGGTAACCCCATAGAAAAAAGTGAGGTGGCGGTAAGTCTGGTGACCTTGGGGCCACTCAATAGGACTCTCCTTCTAATCCATTTGTTCAGATAATTAGTATCCAACCAGTGCCTAGCTGGAGCTGCATAGTGGGGAGGTGCTTCATCTTGTTGGAAGTGTAGCAAATCTTCGTCTAGAGCTTAGGTTGCCTTGATCGTTCCTTTGATTCTCTTATTCATACACAATTAAAGGTTCAATGGTGTTTCTTAGCATATCGAGATAAATGTCGCCACTTAAATTGCCTGGTATAAGCAAGGGCCAATTATAGCATCGCCTAATATTCCTGCCCAAACATTCAGTTTTTCATTCTGTGAATCGATGCGGTTCGCATCACTCCAGTACCGACAGTTTTGTTTATTTACATTACCATTCAGCATAAAAGTACATTCATAGTGAAACAAATATTTTTTAACATTCTCGGTTCAACGCGAATTCTTTCAGTCATGAGTTCACAAAACTCAAATCGTCGGTCTGGATCATCATCGCCTAGTTCTTGAAGAATTTGTGTTTTGTACGGATTTAATTTCAACTACTTTCTAACCGACTCATGTCAAAGTCCTGTTATTGTAGATACTTGACGTGTTGATGCAGTAGGCTCTATTGAAAATTTCCAAGGACCTCAATTTGGGATGCTTCATTCAGTAATCTTGGAGCATCCCTTTTTTTATTTTGCATTGATCTCGTTTCTCTAATCTTTTTAAATAAATCGCGGATGTACACCTAACATAACACATATTTTTATTTTACACTAAATAATAATATTTTATTGTATTTTCCAGATCTCCTTAAACGTTCAGCACCTTCCAGAATAGTCGTAGTAGCTTCAGAATTATACCGACTAGCTTCACTAAATCTAGACAATCTCAATCCTAGCAGCACTTGGTGCCCTGAATATTGGTACTACGTATCGAAATACGCCAATATATGTTTTACTTTAGAACTTGCGAGAAGACTGGAAGGCACTGGAGTAACAGTCAATTGTTTGCATCCGGGTATGATTGACAGCGGAATTTGGAGGAATGTACCTATACCGCTGAGTTGGGGTCTAAAATTAATAATAAAGTGTAAGTAATATTAACCTTTTAAAAAAGCACTTGAATATTTTTGGACACTTGAACAAGATAAGTATTTGATTAGTTGTTTCACTTCATTTCTAGATATTTTGTATTCTTCTTCTTGATGTGCCTATCCCTTACGAATGTTGGCGATCATCATGGCAATCTTTATCTTATCTGCAGCAGCGCGGAAAAGCTGCACAGATGTTGTATTGAACCAGATTCTGATGTTCTTTAACCAAGATGTTCTCCTTCTTCCTGGACCCCGTTTTCCAAAAATTTTTCCTTGCAGGATGGCTTGAAGAAAAGCAAATCTGGATTAATTTCGCATAATATGTCTAAAAATTGTAACTTTCGAGATTTCATGGTGGTCAGTACCTCTCGGTTCTTATTCATTCTTCTGAGGACCTCCTCATTTGTGACTCGGTCAGTCCACGGGATCTTAAGTATTCTCCGATATAGCCACATCTCAAATGCTTCCAGTTTTCTGCACATATCTTCGTTCAAGGTCCACGATTCAACACCATAAAAAAGGACAGAGAAGCAGCATCTTACTTTTGTATCAAGAGAGAGGTTGTGACTCTTGAAGAAGGCCCCCATCCGATTGAAGGTGGATCTAGCTTTTTCGATGCGTGCTCTAATCTCCTAGTTGTTGGTCCATTCTTCATTTATTATGGTGCCGAGGTAGTTGTAGTGCGTCACTCTTTCTACAGGGGATTGGTTGACGTAGAGTTGACCTTCTGTTATCCTTTTCTTGCTAATTATCATAAGCTTTGTCTTCTTAACGTTTATATTGAGTCCATATTGTTGACTGTAATACGTGATTTTGTTCATAAGAACTTGTAGGTCTTCTAAGTTGTCCGCAAATACTATGGTGTCATCTGCATATCTGATGTTGTTTAGCGGTAACCATTTAGTAGAATACCTTTTTCAGTTTCGTGCAAAGCTTCGATAAATATTCTTTCAGAGTACAGATTGAAGATTAGAGGAGACAAAATACAGCCTTGCCTCACTCCACGCATGATTTTCACATAGTCAGTGTGTTCACCTTCAACTCTGAGATTTGCTGTCTGATTCCAGTAAAGATTTCTAATTATTTTCAGATCTTGGTTGTTAATTCCTGCTTCTTTTAGTATTTGCATCATCTTGGCGTGCTGTACTCGATCAAACGCTTTCTCGTAATCAACCAGACATGCGTATACGTCGCAGTTGACGTCTCTGCATCTCTGGAATAAGACTTGTACTGAGAACAAAGCCTCTCTAGTACCAACAGCATTTGTGAACCCGAACTGGTTGGGGAAAATTTGACTTTCACACTTGATTGAATTATCTTTAGGAAAAATTTTAGGAGATGACTCATGAGGCTTATAGTACGGTAATCTTCGCATTTTTTGGCTCCTGGTTTTTTTGGAAGTGCAATAAACTCAGATTTCAGCCATTCTGTTGGTATTTCTCCAGAGTTGTATATGTTGTTGAATATCTTTGCAATTATTGCTATTGATTCGTTATCCATTAGTTTAAGTAGTTGTGCTTGTATATTATCAGGGCTTGCCATTTGCCATCCTTTAACTGTGTTATTGCGGAATAAACTTACTGCTGTAATATTCTTGGTCCATCATTTACCTATTCCTAGCTCAAAGGTGTTATCTCTTTGGTCTTCAAATAGTTTTTTCTAGATATTCTTTCCACGTTCTTATTTTACTCTGTTTCAAGATGATGTTTCCATTAGACTCAGTTATATTTCCTTTCTGCCTCCGTTTTGTCCCACTGCGAGTTTTTTAGCTTTCCTATGTACATTGTGATTATCATATATTGACTACATAGTCTCAATTTATTCGCATCTTTCCCTTGCATCTTCTTCTTTTGCTTCTCTGATTTTCGTTCTTATTAATATATTTATGGTTGTCTCAAACTTTGTATACGTGATAGATATTCTCTGACCTCTGAAATAGTATCTGTTTTACATGTTTTTTTATATTTGACCTTGAATATTATTTCTGGTGTCCACCGTTGTTTTACACAGGGAGGTGAAGTGCAGGCCTATGTGGATGATGTAGTAATAATGGCAAGAGGAAAATATAGTAATGTTCTACGTAGCACACTCCAAATAACATTCTTCTTCTCCGTGTATCTCAGACATTGACGATCATCATGGTCCATTTCACTTTGAATGCAGCAGTTCTAAATAGTTCTATTGCTGTTTTTTTTCTATTGCTTTAAATTTTTTAACTAGGACATGCGTCGTCTGCTGGTCCTATTTTTCCTTCCTCTTTCCCTTTGTATAACCAATGACATCAACTCATTTTTTATTTCACATTCCAAGTACTTGTATCTGGGTACTTTCTCTAAAGTTTTTCCTTTAACGTAGAGTTTTTTCGTCTTCAAACTTGTTCTTACTGACAATCATAATTTTTGTTTTTTCTTTTTAGAGTCATTTTATACCTCTCGCAGTAATGCGTAGTCCGATCAACCAAAAGTAGAGTAAATAGTATACATCCTTACCTAGTAATTCTAGGTAATTTGGTGGCTGTTTTTACTTTTTTAGTTTGAGTTTCATGTCTGTTCAGGTTGGGGTCACTTGCTATATCTGCCCCTGGGTAAGCTTTGGTCGATACTATGGCGTTACGAAATCTTTGGGTTATAACGATATAATCAATCTTGTTTTTTGCCGTCATCTCTAGAGGCTTTCCAGGTGTATATTATTCGGACTGGTAGCTGATATTATATGTTCTTGATAATAAGTTCGTTGACCCTGCAAAACTGAACTAGCACTCTTCTCTCTCATTACGTGTTCATAGTCTATATTCGACTTCTACTTTTTTATCAATTCCTTTCCCTAACTTCGTATTGAAGTCACCTAAAATAATATTAACTTTCTCTTCCTCTTCTTCTTCTTCTTTCTTCTTATATGTAGGCTTTAAAGCCTGTTTCTTCTTCAATATTAGCCTCCTAAATTGTTTAAATTATCGCACCATCTTTTTCTTGGTCTGCCAATACTTCTTCGTCCATTTGGTGACTTATTTCGTGCTATTCGTACTATCCTATCCTCTGCCATTCTACTGATGTGTTCGTTCCACTCCTGTTTCCGTTTTGTCACCCATCCATTTATGTCTTCTATATTGCATGCTCTTCTTATGTTTTCGCTTCTCTCCCTATCCAACAGACTTTTCCCTGATATTCGTCGGAGTATTTTCATCTCTGTTGTTTCTAGTAGTCGTCTCGTTTTAGATGTGTCAGGTCTTGTCTCCGCCGTGTATGTTATTATAGGTCTAATTGCTGCTTTATACATTCTTGTTTTTGTGTCTTGTCTTAGGTGTTTGTTCTTCCAGATTGTGTCATTAAGAGATCCCGCCGCTTTACTTGCTTTTAAGCTTTGTTGTCGTACTTCTTCTTCAACATCTCCGTAACTAGTTATATCTATTCTCAGATATCTAAACCTTGCTTCCTGCTTTATTATTTTCCCATCAATTTCGATTTTACATCGTAGTGGGTATTTAGATGTCATACATTTGGTTTTTTCTGCTGATATTATCATATTGTATTTCTTGGCTGTTGTATTGAAGATGTGTGTTAATCTTTGGAGCTCGTCTTCTGTCTCGGCGATTAATGCGGCGTCGTCTGCATAACATAATATTTGAATTTCTTTGTTCCCCATTCTGTAACCATGACCTTTACGTACTGCTTGTATTATTTCGTCCATTATTATATTAAAGAGAAGTGGGCTTAACGAGTCACCCTGTCTGACTCCGCTTTGTACTGGTATACACTGTGTTAGTTTTCCATTTATCTTTGCCTGTATTCGATTATGGAAGTAGATGTTTTCGATGGTTTGTATAATATTGATTGGTATGTTTCTTTTATACAGTAGGTGTAAGACGTCTTCGACTTGGATGCGATCGAAAGCCTTTGTCAGGTCTATAAAACATAGATATGCTGGTTTATTGTACTCGATGGCCTTTTCTGTGATTTGTCTTAGTACAAATACGGCGTCTACGCAGGATCTTCCGGATCTGAATCCTTGTTGTTCATCTGATAAGTTGTTAGTTTATTGATTTTGTTGGTTAGGACTTTTGTAGTAAGCTTAAGTGCGGTGTTTAGTAGATTTATACCTCTATAATTGTTGGGGTCTTCTTTATCTCCTTTCTTGAACATTGGTATCATTATGCTGTTTCTTCATGCGTCTGGTATCTTGCAGTGCAATATTAGTTTTTGTATAAGTTTTGTCATCTCTAGCGTTATACTTTATCCTCCGTGTTTTAGAAGCTCGTTGGTTATTCCGTCTGGTCCTGGTGACTTTTTATTTTTGAGTGAATTTATGGCTATTTCTACTTTCTGAAAACTGATTTTGTGAAACTTTCTCTTTTTTTTTAATTTACCAGTGCAAGAACATTAGATATTCTTATTAGGTGGTGCGGCAGTAAAAACTCTCTGTCAATCCTAGAAAAACAGTAGTAATCAGTTTTACAAGGAGACGGAACTAAGATAACATTGGATGTCCTCACTATATGGAGAAACTGCCCAAGAGGCGAATGAGGTCAAATATCTAGGATTAATACTAGATAAGTGGCTTACATGGAACGCCCATTTGGTAAGAATAACCAATACAGCAAAGCTTCCAGCAAAGCGTCCAGCAGCATTTGGACATGTCCAAGGATACTCAGGAAATTTTTCATTGATAGATGAATACCAACTGTATCTTTTGTCTCTTGCAACTGATATACTACTACACGTAGTATGTGAGCGTGAAAAAGAAATGAAATAAAAGAGAGTGAGTGAGAGATGTTGGAGACATTCTGCTTGGGCATAATTTAATAAAAGAACTGTGTTCGATATCTGGCTTTTATTTGTAAAATTTTTAATAGATTTATCTTTAATTTCAGGTTTCTTTAAAACCCCAAAACAAGGCTGTCAAACCTCAGTATTTCTAGCTTGTTCCGAAGAAGTTAAAAATGTATCAGGACGATACTTCAGAGACTGTTCTGAAAGACCCTTGAGCTCAGGAGCTCGAGACGTATCCAAGGCAAGAAAATTATGGGAGTTATCAGAAACTTTCGTAAATTTAAGTAATGATGATCCCAAACTTTAGTCATAAACATTATATTTATATTATTATTTTGATTAAAATTCTTTTATAAATATTTTATACTAAAAATAATTAAATTATAGACCTCATAATTTATGTAGAATGTGATTAAGATGTTTAAGCGGGTAAATACGTACATAATAGAGCAAAAATAAATACGATACTACTGTTTTATTGTTTTATATCCCTTACCCGAAACTTTAAATTTATTTAACATTAACATAACATGAACTTGTCGATATCATGTTAAGGCACGTTTGCCACTTTTTCTATCAGACGCTCTCAGAAACGAAACGCAGGTATTTGTTACCCATATATGGAGTTATTCTTCGTTAAAGCATATCCCATACATGCTTAATGGAATTCAGGTCAGGAAATTGTGGCAAGCCAGTCGTTGGCACGCTTCTTTGGCAAGCCAGTCTACCACTAGGCGTGCGACATGAGTACAAGCATTATCAAGCATGAGGTAGAAGTTTTGACCAACATCACTAGCTAAAGGATGAACGACAGGTTATTTATTTATCGTATGGCAATTACAACACATTTAAAGCAAAATTACAAACATTAGTAATATAGGTATATGACAAACTTTAAATAGTTACAAACAAACATTAAGTGTATTAACATAACCAATTGACTCTGAAGTTGCAAACATGAAGTCTTCAGGGCTACCATTATAGGATCGTGAGGGACACTCTTCAATAATGTGGTCGATCGTTTGGTTCTTCCCACAGTCATATTGAGGAGACGGATTCTTTCCCCATTTATGTAGCATGTATGCACATCTGCCATGTCTGGTTCGGATCCTTTTTAGAGTGGACCATGTTTTACGTGGAAGATCAAAACCTGGTGACTTGTGGGTAATGTTATTTTGCCATGCACTCCATTCTTGGGACCATGCATTCGTGATGTTGAACTCCTCATGTATCATTCTTGCCGTTTTCATTGGTGGTTTTCTAGAACGAATACGGGTATTTCGTGCATCCTCGGTATCTTGGTGGATCGGCAGGTTTATATTGTTCATGATCTTTTTGTATTCACGTGTAAGTGCGTCAACTCGTCGTAAATGTGGACTTAATACTGGAAGCCATTGTGTGGGGGTTGATTTAATTGTACCAGATATCATCCTCATAGTGCTGTGCAGCTAAGTGTCAACCTTTTTTACGTGTGAACTGTGTAGCCAAACTGGGGCACAATATTCAGCGGTCGAGAAAACAAGGGCTAAGGCAGTAGAGCGGAGAGTGGAAGCCGATGCTCCCCAGGTGGTACCGCAGAGCTTCTGTATAATGTTTTTTCTTGTACTCAACTTTTGGGCAGCTTTTGTTAAATGCTGTTTAAATGATAGCGTTCTGTCTAGTGTTACGCCCAGGTACTTCGGTGTTTTGTTGTGGGAAAGTGTGGTATTTTCAAACCGTATGTTGAGTTCCTTTCCAGCAAGTTGATTGTTCAGGTGAAAGCAACTAACTTCTGTTTTGGATGCATTTGGTTGAAGCGCCACTTGCGAAAATATTTGCTCAATATATATAGTCTGCCGTCAGAACTTCTTCAGATGTTTCTAGTGTTCTGCATCGTGTAGTGAGGGCCCAGTCATCGGCGTATTCGAACTTTCTTGATTGTGTTTCCGGCATATCTGCTAAATATAAGCTAAATAGTAATGGAGAGAGCACTGACCCCTGTGGTAGGCCATTCTTAAGTTTCTTTGGTGGGTTGATATCTGTGCCCATCACTACTTGAAACATTCGGTCGTTGAGCATGCTATCTATTAAACGTGCTATTTGTTTACAGGGGATTGCACGGAGAATTTTGTATATAAGGCTCTCTCTCCATACTGTATCGTAAGCTGCCGAGGGATCAATAAATGCCGCTGTCTTCTTCTCTTCTGCTAAAAGTCTTCTTTGGAAACCCGCTTCGATGTAGGTGGTGAGTGACATTACCTGGTCCGCGCAGATCAGTTCTGGTCGAAAACCCGTTTGTTCGACTGGGATCACCTGGAACAGTTCTGTACTGATTCTATTATATATAAGCTTCTCTAATAGTTTGTAGATGGCAGAGAGAAGCGCAATTGGTCTGTAGTTTTTTGGGTTGTCAGCGGGTTTGCCTGGCTTTAGTATGGCTATTATCTTAGAGCGCTTTAGTTCTTGTGGGATATTTCCAGTTTCCATGATGTCTGTGAAAAATCGAGCCAGCCAAACTTTTGTATACTTGCCACAATTTAGTAGGAATTGAGGGTGAATCGTCTTTAAGAGCCTCTGATATGTCTTCGCTGGTGAAGGGGAGGGAATGCTTCGTTTCTGTGGCTACATGTTTTAAAGTTTTAAGTTCTCTCTTTACGTAGATGGTGTGTGCTTTATCTTTGGTGCCCTGGATGTTTTTACTATATGTGATGCTACGGCATCTGGCTTTATGGCTGCCTCTCGGCGTTTCGTACGGACACCACTCCCTAATTTTCTTAGTAATGACCATGCCTGTCTGCTTGATTTCTGAAAGTTTAGACTTTCTACTGTTTCGGTCCACTTTTGGCTTCTAGCGGTATCTAGGCTGTACAGTAGTTCATCCGCTATTTCTTGGTCGCCAGTTTCAAGAAAGCTCTGATATAGTTCCTCGCTATTTTCCGACCAGCCAGGAATATATTCTTTGCGATATCCTCTTGGTATGTGTTTTTTGGCTACACTTAGCACGGCACCAACAAATCTGTGGTAGTTTTTGATATTCGGTGTAATCCACCCTAGGCATTTATCTAGATCCACAGAGAAGTCAATCCAGTTGGCCTTTTTAAAATTCCATCTTGGACGTGGGATAGAACTAATTAAAGGGATTTGCGTCCCTACTTCTATTATTACTGGTCGATGTTGGCTGTGTGGGAAATCAGTTAGAACTCTTCGTGAAGCCCCTAGAGGTAAGTCTTTGTTGTCGGTCGAGACGAAGCATAGGTCGGGGTTGTATTCCCGCCTCCATGCCGCGGATCTGAAGGTTGGTCGATCTTTGGCATCAAACAAAAGGTACAGGCGTTCGTCTTCTGCCCATTTTATTAAAGCATTCCCATTTGCATCACTATTTTTGTACTTCCACTGTTCATGATGGCTATTGTAATCTCCAACATATACAGCAGGGTGAGGCTGTACTTGAATTGCTTGGGCTGGCCAAGACGTAGCAGGTGGCTTGTAAATGTTGGACACGGTAATGCTAGCGATTTTTGTGACCACATTATAAATACAGTCATCAGTGGAAGTAGAGATTAGCGAAGCATTTTCAATATCTTCTTTGACATATGTGGCTGTGCCGTATGTTCGGTGGTAAGTTGCGCCTAATAGTTATAAAGCCCGGTTAAGCGACAGGTTAAAGAACGGTGACGTGGTACTGCTGAGCTGTAAAGAAGCGACCTAGATAAACGAGGTCGGTTCTTTCCACCAATTATTATTCCATCTCATACCATTACTGTACCACCTCTGTATATGTAAACTTCTTGGACATGTCTTAAGCGTTCTACATTTCCAGATCGTCACCTCCCTCTTACTCGACTAGCATCTGGACGAAATCCAAATCTTGATTCGCTGGACATCTCAATGGCGTTAGGCTGTGGAGATTGGCTTCATAGAGACGACTTCTTACAGTATCATGGCCTATGGCTATCTAGTGTGCCGCTAAAAATCGCTAATCAATTCAGGTGCTGTAATTATTGAAAAAAATCCACAAGGAAAAATTCCTGTAGCTGGCTGTATACCACGTATAACAAAAAGAGGTTAATCTTTGTAAGTGGGTATATTTATTTAAAAAACCCTTAAAAGGGCCACATCAATAGAACAAACGTTTTCGGACTAAACAGTCCATCATCAGGTTATTAAAATCGAAAATGCTAGGTCATAATGCCTGAGCCACCAAAATATTAGGGTGAAAACCCTTTAAATTACATTTAGTTATGAAATTATTTACATTGTGTTATAAAATAACTGTGATGTTCTATATTAAATTAAATTTGACCAAAGGTAACACATGGCTCAAATGGGTTCCAGAGCCGGGCGAGAGGCAACCTCTGCGCTCGGAGAACAACGTGGAACTCGAGTTCCACGTTGTTCTCCGAGCGCAGAGGTTGCCTCTCGCCCGGCTCTGGAACCCATTTGAGCCATGTGTTACCTTTGGTCAAATTTAATTTAATATAGAACATCACAGTTATTTTATAACACAATGTAAATAATTTCATAACTAAATGTAATTTAAAGGGTTTTCACCCTAATATTTTGGTGGCTCAGGCATTATGACCTAGCATTTTCGATTTTAATAACCTGATGATGGACTGTTTAGTCCGAAAACGTTTGTTCTATTGATGTGGCCCTTTTAAGGGTTTTTTAAATAAATATACCCACTTACAAAGATTAACCTCTTTCTGTAATTATTGCTTGTCTTCTAGCGGTTACACTAAAAATCGGTTTTAGCTGCAGATGTAGAGTGCTAGTCCTAGATGACATTCGGCTGGACTTCCAATATCACAAAAACGCTGACACATCGACTTATAATACTTTGGGAGACTCCCATGCGTTCAACTACATCAGTTTGCTATATGCCACCTTGAAGAAGGCCTACTCATCTCAGCTAAAGTTAAATGACGTCGTTCCATTATAACAAACAATATTTTCATTGCACTTACTAATAAAGAATTTAATAGCACAAAGAAAATCGAAATAATCACAATATTTACTACAGTATAAAAACTACAGTTTTTTCTGTTCTGTTAAAAACTTTGTCAAATATTCGTTATCACTTACAAAAATCTACAAGATAAGCAACTGTAAAAATTCAAGGTAAATTATTTCAAACACGATGTCCAGAAAGAAGAAGAACATCTTGGTTAAAGAATTTTAGAATCTGGTTCAATACAACATCTGTGCAGCTTTTTCGCGCTGCTGCAGATACGATAAAGATTGCCGTGATGATCTGCCAACATTCGTAACAGATAGGCACATCAAGAAAAAGATAAAACTATCCCTAGACTTTTACGATGTGTTTACATACTTAATCTGTTAATACATTGTTGCCATCCCTAATAACATATAAATACAATATTTAATGTCTTATAATAGCAGGCATATTATTCGAAGTTCCCCCATTCTGTAATTAAAATTTGTAGAATTAAAATGAACACCAAAGGTCGCTACAATGTTTTCTGCTTTAT